CCATTGGTCTTGTGGCTGCCTGGCTGCGGGCTCTCGCCTCGGGTTTCCAGCACAACGTACCTTGTGATTTGCTCATGTCTTCTTCTTTGCCTTTGGCTTCCCTTTCTTGAGTCATTGGGGTTTCAGTCCTTCCAGATCCACAGAGAACATGTTTCCCATCACTGCAAGGCAAGAAGCAGGCGGCTCAGTGGCGCAGCCAACAGGCTGCATGTCCAAGGGCAGCTCCTGTCAGCTGCCTGGACATCTGAGGTCGATTAGTCATGACTGTCCTGGACCTAGCAAGAGAGGGGAGTGGCTTGTGGGCCAGATGTTACAGCAACTGTACAGCCTAGAGGGTGCCGAGTCTGCACATCCCCAGCGGAGAGCCTTAAATGATCAAACTACGTGTCAGAAGATATGCCAGAGAGCAAACTTGGAAGACACACAGACAACACACCACACGTATAAGGGCCTGTTGTCCTTAATATATAAAGAGCTCTGGTGAATCAATAAGAAACAAGTCAATATTGAAGAAACAAGTTGCAGAGCCTGGTGGATGAGGCTTACTGTCTTGGGGGACACAAAGGTCAATGGTCATAACATAGTTTTAAAAAAAACAATGTTCTACATCTTAATGGGGTGCGTAGCTACTGGGGCCCGAAAGGCTTGTGAGCCACCATCTGAGGTGCAACTATTAGAGGGAAGGAAGGTGATGAAAATCAAAGGACACAAGGAAACAGAGTCCCCTGGAGGAATGGACCACGTGAATGTCTGTCTCACACCCCTGAGACCAGAAGAACTGGATGGTGCCCCGCTACCAGTACCCACTGCTCTGGACAGAATCACATTAGAAGATGCTGGACAGAGAGGCAGAAACAAAGAGAACAGAGCTCAAAATGATAAAAGAGACCAGGCTTCCTGATCAGAGAGAGACTGGTGGGCCCCTCCAAACGATGCCCTTTCCTCTTCAGCATGGTCTGGAGCTGAACGGACCTCTGTGGAAGAATAATCGACCACTGGAGATCAAGAGGGCAGGACAATGTCCAGAGGAGGAGACAGGAAACACAGGGAGGAAGTGGGATCAGCGACGGACGGTCCATTGAGGGGATGGCAATGGATGAGTGTGCACAGAATGCAAGTGGACGGTTGAATGAAAACGATGGTGCATTCGCTGACCCGTCACCCAACTCCCAGTGTTAAACAGTCTGAAAAATAAAAGGCCAACAGCCCAATGAGACCATGGCCAAAGGACATGAGTGTATAGCTTCCTGCAAACTAAAAAATGACTTTTCAAAGCAAAACAAAACAAAACCACAGGAAAACATGCTTAGTCTCCGCCATTGAGCAATATAGAGACAATGCCATGGGATGTTCACCCTGAGACGGAGAGAAGCCAAACGGATGATAATCTCTCTTATCAGTGAGGATGTGGGGACACAGACGCTCCCAGACACGGTGGGAGCAACCAATGGGGTCACATGGGGCAACTTTGTCAGCAGTCAGACTTGAGGATCGATCGCATGGCCTTTAACCCATCTTTGAGGTCAGTGGCAGTCCTGGCTACCAAGAGTCCAGCCCCCTCACTAGCCCACCCTTTATTGTACTAGGGCAGCCGTTCTCAACCTGTGGGTCGTGACCCCTTTGGGGATTGAACGACCCTTTCCCAGGGGTCTCTCGATTCCTAACAGTGGCAACATGACAGCGATGAAGTAGCAACGAAAATGATTTCGTGGTTGGGGGGCCCCACCACCTGAGGAACTGTATGAAAGGGTCGCGGCTTTAGGAAGATGGAGAACCACTGTTCTAGGGCTTTTGTGCGTGATAAGGACAGTCATTTGGTTTTCAAATTGTTAAATTCTGTAACTCCACTCAATAGCATCCCTCCACATATCAAGATTCCCTGAACTGTGCTCATGGGAACCTGTGCGCGGACAGCGCGGCAGTCGTGTGACCAGTTCAGCACAGCCTGGCGGGCTGGCACAGAGGGGGCCATGGAGACTTGCTGATGGGAGATCCAGGGCTGCAGCTTCAGAACAGATTCCAACTCGATGCAAAAATGAACAGAATCTCCACAAGTGAACCCAGGGCTATTGCGGTCAAGGATGCAAAGACGGGGGTTCTCAAGGCATCCGTCTTGCTTGGATCCTCAATCAATGCCGGAGGAGGCAGCAGTCAAGAAACCAAATGACAGATTGCACTGGGAAAATCTCTTTAAACCGTGGAAGAGCAAAGCTGGCATTTTGAAGCTTAAGGTGCGCCTGGCCCAAGCCGTGGTGTTTTCAATCACCTCGTATGCGTCTGGTGGTTATGGGTTCGGCTGCACAATCCGGAGGGTCAGCAGTTCAAAACCACCAGCAGCTCCTCTGGAGAAGGATGGGGCTTTCTACTCCCGTCAGCAGTGACAATCTCAGAAACCCACGGGGTGGGGGTGGGGGGTCGCTATGAGTCAGTACCGACTCAGCGTTGGTGAGTTTTTTCAGAAGCTGGACACTGAATAAGGAAGACCAGAGATGAACTGAGGCAGGAGAGTTGCGGCATTGGCAAGGAATACTGACCGTGCTGTGGACTTATAGAAGAACAGACAGCTCTGTCTTGGAAGAAGCATGGTCAGGATGTGCCGTAGAGACAAGAACGATGAGACTTTGTCTCACATGCTTTGGCCATGTTGTCAGAGGAGACCGGTCCCTGGAGAAAGGCACGATGCCTGCTAAAGGAGTGGAGGAGTGAAACAGAGGAAGACCCAGCACAAGACGGACGGACACAGGGGCTGTAGCGATGCGCGCACACGTAAGAACAATTGGGAGGATTTGGCGCAGGGTGGTCAACATGAGAAACTCGACCCTGTTCATCAGTGCCAACCCTCATGAACCACCCGAGGGCTCTAGGGGCCTCAGGAAAGGATTGTTCTCATAGCACCATAGGCAGGCTTGTCAAACCACGCAGCGAGGACAACCCGTTTCAATTCAAAACGCTGACATTTCTACTACATCTCACGCCTGGAAAAGGCTGGGTCATCTGCTCATGTATTAGCAACAATTATTCTTGTACGTGCCGATCCTTTGTTCGTAGTGGAAGTTTGCCCCATTCACTTTGCCCTTTTAAAGCATTGCATTAAAGTGCAGCGTCTCCAGATGACGGAGTTTGATGATGGCCCCTTAACGTTTGCACCCCGGGCTACGTGGGGAGGAACCAGAAAAACATGATGCTCGGCAAAAGAAGCCAGAGACTAAGGGATCTATAGCACATGCTCCCATTTATATGCCTCTGGAGCAGGGGAATTGGGAGAGACAGGAAGCAGATTAGTGGTTGCCTAGGGATTGGGGGAGGAGGAATGATTGCGTAATGGGAGACAGAAATATTTTGGAACTAGAGAGAGGTGGGGGTGACACATCCTTGTGACGGCCCCACATGACGGTGAGATGCTCGTGTGTCATGATGGGTTTTGTGAATTTCCACTCGATTTAAAGAAAGGGCCCTGGAGTCCCAGTTCTCCTGCGTCACACACCGACCACTTGGGGATAGCATCACCTCTGGGTCTCAGCTCCGATGGAGACAGGTACTTTAGGGGACCCTCCCGTTGAGGAAAGAAATAAGTCTTGTCGGGAACCCAAGAGGCAAGCGAATTTTGGGAATGATGAGGGCAACAAATGTATAGATGTGCTTTACACAATTGATCTATGTATTGCGATGAATTTTATGAGCCCCAATAAATTGATTTAAAAAAGAAATAAGTCTTGTTAGGTGCGGTGGCTGTGGTTCTGACTGCCAGGACCAACGGGGCCGAGATCTTGTTGGTTGTCCTCGTCACCGAAGCAGATCACTGGGCCTTTGACCCACAGAAACTACTGGGTGGCTTCAAATCGTCATCCTTTGGGCGAGCAGCCAAGCCCTTAAAGGTCGTGCTACCAGGACTCTCGAAACGAGCCTTCTCTCCTCGGGCAAACGAAAAAGTCTTAAAAGCTTCCCCCCAGGAAGTAAACGCCTGTGTCCACACAAAAGCCATTGTGTAAAGTTGGCAGCTGGTCCATTGCAGTCATTCAACTGGAAAGGCTTCAAGTGACCTTCCAACGGACAGGTGGCTAAACAGACTGCGGTCCCCCCAGACAATGGAAAACCAAGTTGCGATCACAAGAAATGGTGTGTGGACAGATATGACCGTTTGGAGGAGCCGAAAGGCACGAGGCTGAGGAAAAGCAGACAGTCACAAGAGGTGGCACGCGACACAATCCTCGGACATTCCCAGAATGCTCTGGAGCAGGCAGAGTTACAGGAAGAGAGGGCAGATCCATGGTGGACAGCCGGGAGAGGGGGTTGAGCAGGAGGATGTTTTAGGTGAGGGGGTGGAGGGGTGTGGAACGGCTATGTTCCCTGACCATGGCCGTGGTGGTGGTCACATGACTCTGGGTCATTGGTCAAAACTGGGTGTAGTATTAAATAAAATTGCGCGGACCGGAGGGTGAGGGAACCAGCCCCAACCCGCTGCTTGAACTCACTGGTTCAGTAATACTACTTCTGGGTTCAGTAATGCACAATTGTACGGTTGAGATATATAAGCATTATATTAAAGTCATCGAGAGCATGAGAGATAATACAATAATACAGTCAGGCATGATACATAGCAACATTGCTCACCTCAGCCCAGCTTGGTGGTCCACGTGGAGAGAGGGGGAAGGGACGGAGGGAAAGGGAACAAGGGAGAGGGGAGTGACCAGGGAGTGAGCAGCAAGGAGCTCAGGGTCAGAGAGAGAAGTTCTGCTGACTCACACCTATATACCTTTTGGGGGCAATCCAGCCCACTAATTACAGGTAGAGACATACGTCACAGGAAGGGGCTGCACTATAGGTTACACAGCAATGAGTGGGTGGTCTAGGGGTTGGTCTCTGGGTCTCCATAGGAACATTATCAGTAGGGTGCAAACCCCTCCTACAGGAGCCTGTCCATTGTCCCCAGAGGCAGGGAGCAGGCCCACCCCTGTGGAGGGATGAGACAGCAGTCTGGCAACTGATTGCCCTCAGTGGGGGAATGCCTGCACATCTGACCTCCCTCCACAACTGGGGGTCGTACACTAAAGGGGACGTGACCTGGGGAGATGGATGGACACAGTGGCCATAACAAGGGGCTCACGCACAGCAAAGATGGTGATGGTGGCACGGGACCAGGCCACGTTTGGTTCCATTCCAC